TATGGGTATGGATAAAGTATTTCTGCCCCCAAACTAAATTGTTACCATCCCTACTTCGGTTGAAGATGGTATATGAATATGATCTGACACTGTTTTCTGGACAAGACTATGTTTAGCCCTTTTGGTTGGAGATGACCTTAGCATAATCCTCCAAAATTTTCCCTTTTGTAGCTAATCCTTAAGGGCGTGTTTGTTTGGCCACGTTAACTTTTAATGGATTGGATTGATTAGTTAGGATTAATAGTCCATGTATAGTGCAAGCAAAGGCTGAGTTTAATGGGACTAAGTCGGACTCGTGCCGACTAAATCCTTCGCTAGGTGGGCTTTGTGAGAACTCTTGAAAAGGAGAGGATTTCTAATCTCGTCTCCCCGCTTTGCTTCGCCCTAAACCTGAACCTTCAAATGATGACTTGCCCTCCTACTCTTTCCCCCTCCCTTTTCTCCATCTCAGAAGATCTCCAAGTCTACAAGACTGGGTTTAACGCCTTCGACTGTGTTTGATGGAAACGAATCCAACAAATCCAAGTTCGTCTCAAATCCAAGCCACTGCCAATTCTCATGACTCCACAAACCTTGACTCCCTGCCAATCAACTTGCTGGGCCTCGCCACAGGCCAGTTTCACCGTTCCACAAACTTGGCATCTTGGATCGAATCCACGAATGTTCCCTTCGCTCTGCGTGTTCTTGGTTTCTTCTTTTCTAAGTTTTTAGCAATTGTGTCAAAGATTGGAAAGCTCTCTCCAATTCGAATCTAGATAATGGCGATTATTTGCAAGTATTTTCCCTTTTTCCTTAACTTTTTGTTCTCATCAATTTTGCTTCGTTCTTTGTGGTTATTGGTTGTAAATTTGAAGAAATTAGGGATTATCATTGTGCTAATGCATTCCTACCATTGAATTAGGACTCAGAGAGCTCATTAAGTAATTTTTTAGGTATTAACAAGTAGTTTTTTGTTTCCATTTTTAGTTAATCTAGCTTCTTAGTCTAACACTACACCAAACACTTTACTATGTTAGTCCAGCTTAGTCCATTCTAAGCCAGTCCAACTTAGTCTATTCTAAGCCATTCCAACTTAGTCCTTGAAGCTAGTCCAATTTGAGATAAGCCCGGTGCAACAAACGCACCTTTAGGGTCTTAATTTTTTTTAAGGAAAACTAATGAAAAGGACTTTAAATCTTTGCATTTTAATCAAAAATCATCCTCTAACTTTATTTAATGATAAAGACAAAAGAATTTTAAACAAAATAAATAAATAAATAATAAAAATGCAACGTGCGACCCCCCCCCCCCCCCCCAACCCCCAAAAAAACCCCTTTTTTCACTCTTTTTTTCTCACATTGTTAGTTATTATTAAGAGATATTATATTTATTATATATATATATATAAATTTTTTTTTTTTTGCTTAGAATAACAAATTGAATTACATTTCCTAGTTTTATTTTTGTGGTGTTGTTTTCCAATAGTATTCAAGTGGTGAGATTCTTGTGTTAAAAAATTAAGAACATAAAAAAGTAAAATTTCCCACCAATTACATAATAACATGTGGTGTACCACTTGTAATACAGGCACAAAGAAAAATTTCTCCAAGATGACACTCAAGCTCAAGAAATTGGATGGAGAGCTACATTTAAGGTATGTAGAAAATGTGAGGGAATTTTAATTTGGTAATTGAAAAAAGTTTTTTTAAATATAATTACTGAGAACATAATCTTCTCAAGGTTTTGATTTAAATGATCACTTCTGGGTTCATTGTTTTCGGCGCAATGGGTACTTTTACAGGACCAAAAAGGATCTAAGTTCCAAACCTTATGAAATAGAACCAAGAATTAAACACCATTTATAAAACTTGACTAATAAGTAGACACTATTATGAAGCTGGATCAATAAGTATACACTATTTATGAAACAAAACCAATAATTAGGCAGTATTTCTAAAACTAAACTAATAGGTGGAAACTATTTATGAAACTGGACTATAGGCTATTTATGAAACTAGACACTATTTATGAAACATGACCAAGAATTAGGCACTATTTATGAAAGTCGACCAATAACTAGGCACTACTTTTTATATTAAAATTGGGTCATTTTCATTAAAATTTAAGTTTTCTTGTTTTTTTTAAATTAAATTTTAATGATTTTTCATTAATATTCAGGATAAAGTACAAAAAATTACCTCAACTATTGGTGTCACGACACTTTCATACCTTATCTTTTAAAATTAACAATGTCATACCTCATCTTTAGAATTTGGTCCAATGTTATACCTTCCGTTATTTAGCTGTTTACTTTTTAGTTAAATGCTGACGTGGCTTGATTCGGGACCCACTTTCTATTAAAAAAATCATTAAAATATTATTAAAAACTAAAAAAATTATTTAATATTTTTGAAATATTAAAATAATAATAAAAAGTAAAAAAAAAAAATTTCCAATTTGTCTTCCCCCCACGCCCACTCTTGGTTCCCCCCCCCCCCTCTTCTCCCTCCTACAACCCAAAAAAAAAAAAAAAAAAAAACCAGATCCTGTCGGCGGGAAGATGAGTGCGCAGAGAATGTGGAGGATGGGTGCGGAAGAGGATGTGGAGAATGGATGAGAGTGGTGGATTTGGGGTTTGATGGGTTTTCGAAAAAATAAAAAAAAAAATTTTCTTCCTCCTCCTTCTCCTTCTCATAAGAGAGAGGAGGGGGGGAGGGGGAGAGGAGGGATGAACTGAGGGTTATTTTTTTTTTTTGGTGTACTTTTTATTAGGGTAAAGTACAAAAAACTACCCCAACTATTAGTGTTACGACACTTTCATACCTCATCTTTTAAAATTGACAATGTCATACCTCATCTTACGAATTTGTGTCAATGTTATACCTTCTATTAGCTTGGCGTAAATTTCTCAATTAAATGCTGACGTGGCTTGATTCATGACCACTTTCTATTAAAAAAATTAATAAAATACTATTAAAAACTTAAAAAAATCATTTAATATTTTTTTAAACATTAAAATAATAAAAAAAAAGAAAAAAAAACAAACAAACAAAAACAAAACAAAACAACCCTTTCCCTCCCTCCATCTCTCCCCCCCAAGCCTGCAACCCAGAAAACAAAAGAAGAAAAAGGAAAAAAAAAAAAAAACTTCATTCCTTCCCACCCTCCCCACCCCCTCCCCCCCCCCCCCGAGTGCGCACGCGTCCTTTCTTCTCCCCATCCCCCCCCCCAACCCCCTGCTGCAAGCCTGCAACCCAAAAACAAAAGAAGAAAAAGAAAAAAAAAAAAAAAAAAAAAAAAAATACTTCATCCCTTCCCCCCCCCCCCCCCCAGCCCTCTACTGCAAACCTGCAACCCAGAAAACAAACAAACAAAACAACCCTTTCCCTCCCTCCATCTCTCTCCCCCCTGCAACCCAGAAAACAAAAGAAGAAAAAGGAAAAAAAAAAACCTTCATCCCTTCCCCCCTGCGCGCATGCGCGCGTCCTTTCTTCTCCCTTCTCCTCCATCCCCCCCCCCCCCAACCCCCTGCTGCAAGCCTGCAACCCAGAAAACAAAAGAAGAAAAAGAAAAAAAAAAAAAAAAAAAAAAAAAACTTCATCCCTTCCCACCCTCCACCCCTCTTCTCCCTCACCCGAGCCCCTACCTGCAACCTAGAAAAAAAAAATCCCAGTTCGTCTTCCCCTCGCATCCACCCTCCACACCCACCCAACCTCGCACCCATCCCTCGCAGAATCGGCGAACGGGATTTGGGTTTTTTTTTTTTTTTCTTCTTTTTCTTCTTTTTCTTCCTCCTCCTTCTTTTTCTTTCTGGGTTGGTAGGGGGTTGGGAGGGGGGGACGAACTGGGTTTTTTTTTTTTTGTTTTGGGGGGGGGGGGGGGGGGGACGAACTGGGTTGGGGTTTTTTTTTTTTTTTTTTTTTTCCCTTCTTCTTTCTTCTTCTTCGGGGGGTTGGGGGTTGATGGGTTTTCAAATTGTTTTGTTTTTTTGTTGAATCATGCAGGGAAGAAGAAGATGAAGAGGGGGGTGGATGGGACGAAAGGTTTTGATTTTTTTTGTTTTAACTTTTCTTTATTATTTTAATATTTAAAAATATTAAATGATTTTTTTTAATTTTTAATAGAAAGTGGAGTCTGGATCAAGCAACGTCAGCATTTAACTAACAAATTAACGGCAGACTAACGGAAGGTACAACATTGGCACAAATTCGTAAGATGAGGTATGATATTGTTAATTTTAAAAGATGAGTTATGAAAGTGTCATGACACTAATAGTTGAGGTAGTTTTTTTGTACTTTACCCTTTTTATTATTATTTTAATATTTATAAAATATTAAATAATTTTTTTTAGTTTTTAATAATATTTTAATGATTTTTTTAATAAAAAGTAAGCCCCGAATCAAACCACGTCAGCATTTAACTGAAAAGTAAACGGCCAAGGAACGGAATGTATAATATTAAACCAAATTCTAAAGATGAGATATGACATTGTCAATTTTAAAAGATGAGGTATGAAAATATCGTGACATTAATAATTAAGGTAGCTTTTTTGCACTTTATCCTAATATTTAATTATTTTTCATTAAATAAAGATATAACGTGATTTTTGGGTTAAAATAAATGCTCTCATTTTTTTATCCCATTCAAAATTTACACTTAAAAAACTCATTCAAAAAGGGCAAAGCACACACAACAAAGAAAGCTCCCAAAAAAGAGGAAAAATGAAAATTTAAGATATAATCATTGTACTTGCTCTAAATTCTTGATCCAAGTTGGTGAAAAATGAAAAACCTAGCATCGGGTGACCAGAATCAAATCTGAAGGCTAGTGCTATCTACACTCCCTTTTATTGCCAATGCCTCATGTTAATTTCTGTCATTTGATCTAATGGCAAAAAGTTGAAAGGAATACGTGGAAGGCAAAAAGAGGTGTGTGTATAGCAATATAAACAAAATTCACCACCAACTTGGCAGCAGGCTTGATATCATAAATTATACAAGGGATAAAACAACAATCAGGGAGAAGCAATAGCAGTGACGCGAACTTGAGAATATCACCCGGCGCAATTTGTCAAAACATAACTAGTTCAACTTCCTACAAATCCAGATCTGTATCCTCATCCACTAGTAGCAAATATCTCATAACAACCAAACTGAAAAGAAAAACAAAATTTCAAAACAGCATTAATTTTGACAGAGTACCACACGAAAAAGTTGAATAAGTGAACAAGGTGCTTAGATGCCCCAGCATCCTAATCTTCCTCCTCCCCTTCGTTCTCGGCAATGTTGAAGTACCTCAGTTCGTAGACATTTCTATCCTTGTTGGAAGCAATCACACGAAGCCAATCTCGCACGTTGTGTTTCTTTAGGTACTTCTTTGTCAAGTACTTCAGATACCTGAACCACAAAAACAACATAAACACTCAAACTACACAAAAACTGTACTCCACTTTTCCGTTACAGTTACAGAAGAAGAACTAGTTTAACCAAGTCTCTAGACTCGCATAAAATGCATATTAAAACCCTAATTTAAAAGTTAAAAAATGCAGAATAGCTATCATCACAGAGATACCAGTGATCAGAACAAAATCCAAAGGATGCTCTACATAAAAGGTGCTAGATTTCATCCATAAATCATTTGCGAATAGAAAGAAAACTAAATAAATTTCAATGTGCATTATACATCAATGGCTAGTTCAAGCCACATGCATGCGACAGGGAGAAAAAGACAATCTCATCGACCATATAAGAACTCGTAAATCCTATAAATTAACCAAACCTCCGATCAGTCTTACATGTATCAATCATGAAAAGAGAAATAAAATTACCTCTTTGAGAAGTTACTGTCAGAGGTGACAGTGATCTTGCTCTTCTCACGGGTCACACTGACGGTGTCACCAAGTGCACCAGCCTTACCTCCAACCTTAATCCTCTCCTGAAGAAACTTCTCAAGGGAAGCAATGTCCATGATCTTGTCCTCCACTGGCTTTCCACAATCAATGGTAAAAGTCACTCCCTTCCTTTTCCCCTTGGGACCTGCTGCAGTTCCTCTACTCATTGTCGGTTATCTCCTGCAGCACAGATACAAATCAAACATAAGCCACATTATGTGTACATACATCTTTGTACAGAAAAAGGCCACATTATGTGTTATAATAAAAATCACACGAAGCAAATCAACGCACCACCACACACCCTACACATTCAAATTTACACACAAACAATTATATCTCTAAAAAATAAAGTCGAGCATTCAATTATTTTCTTGTAAAACCTGATAACTTACATTGATGTGCATAAAATTTCATACGTTCAACATAAATACAAACTGAGAGGTGAAGATTTTATATTTCAATTGCAATTTCAAGCCAAAAGCACCATATACCACCTACTAATTCATTGAAATATAATAAAAACAATAGTCTATCTCTGAATTATGAACCTAACAATCTAGCAATTTCGAATCCAAAAACAAAACCAACTGAAAATCTGAATTAAACCCAAAAATAATTAGAAAAACTAAACAAATCCAATAAAAAACCAAAAAAATAATAATGTTCATGGAAAAAATATATTATCTGCAGAATGCGATGCAACCACACAAAAAAATTAACAAGTAGACGAAAACCCAGAACGTACCGGGAGTCGAGAGAGAAGGGGGTGATGGGTTCGTTAGGAAATGAGAGATAACAGAAGACGACCAAGAAGGTTAAAGATCGCGGCGCCAGTGTGATAATATAAAGGAGGAGAAATGAGTTAGGGTTTATCAGCCTTCGCGCGCTATCGGGCCGTTTTTACGGGACACCCTTATTGCATTTGGTCCTCTTTTCTCCCTTGGGCCTTCAGAAAATGATGTGGGCTTTATTCATAGTATTGCGACAAACCAATTTTATATTTTATCATTACATAGAAGTTTTTTTTTTTTTTTTTCATTTTTTTTTTATTTTTTGGGATAAAACGATAAATTTTGTTAGATTAGTCACCACCGGGGTTTGAACTCATGTCGTTATGTAAGGGCTCAACTCATTTCCACCACTTAATAGAAATGTAGTTAAAGAAATAATTAACTTAAATACCCTTAACGAAATTTGTTTAGATACAAAGAATCACATAAGTAGTTTTTTTCTTTTTCTTAAAAATGAGACCAGCTGGTGGTTTCCAGTCCACCCATCCGAGGGTTGGGAAGACTTACAAAGCAAAGGCATTTCAGTCTCTTCTGACTACCATCATGCAATTCACCAGTGCTAGGAATCGAACCCAAAACGTGCATGTGAAATACAGAGCAGGAATTAATACCTAACCATTAGGCCACCTTATGGTGGCTATCACATAAGTAGTTGAAGATGCCATTTTCACATGTATGTATTAAATAATACATTATAATTTATAATATATTTATTCCTCTACTTATTATTGTTCGATCTTCATGGGAGACCAGAAGAATGACTATAGTTGTCATAGTTGTTTTGCACTTTCTTAATGAAGATAATTTTCATGGTTGTCTAGCACTCTCTTAACGAAGATGGCTTGGAGATCTCTACAACGTTCTTGTCTTTTTGTTCGGCTGGAGTAAAAATGGAGACGGATTAGTAGATCCTAACCGATTAGGAGAGGCTTGATGTGGAAATGGACAAAATTTTCATTGTGAAGGGAATGCAGGTGGTACACTATGTGTTGTTATGTAAGTGATGACAAATTTTATTTGTTAAGTTATTAACTTTTTAACACACATATCTCACCATTTGTATAGTGACACGTGGTGTATCACCTTATGTGCCGATCACACTGAAAAATCTCTCGCAGAAACGAGGGAGAGAGTAACATTAGATTTGGGAAGATATACAAAGATACAGAGAGGAGTTGGAGAGCGTGAGACGAAATAAATTTTGAATCTAGGATGGCGGCTTGTTGGAGTTGGTGCCTGGGTGAAGGGTGGTGTCGCGGCAGGGCTAGAGATCTAGAGGTACGAACATGTTTGTCTTTCTTGAGGGCCAACTATTTTAGTCGACTTTTTGGAGTTATACAAGCGGGTGTGAAGCACATAAGTGGCTTGCACCCATTTAAATTGGGGAATTTTAACGAAAAGTTTCCGGTACCGTTAATTTTAATGAAAAACCATATTTTTACACTAAAAAGTCAATCCTAGTACTATTCACTTTACCATTTATTTTGTCCTTATCGTTAAAACTCAAAGTTTTCAAGTCTTTTTCATTAGTTGTCCTTTTAATTAGTCTGGCACTCATTTAGGACATAAATGCACCAAACGTCGATTCTGCATTGAATAATCTTATCTAATGTGTAATACGGTGTCAAAAGTGAGGCATAAGTAAGCCTAGTCATGTAGTTAGGGTTCCCAACACTTCACAACCTAGATTAATCTTAAAGTTGAGCATTTTTTAGTCCCTCAAATATATAGTGAAAAAAAAAAAATTAAATATGAAAACTTTTAAAATGTGAGAGGCGACAAAACACTGAGAATTGTTGTGGAGATCAAAGTCAAAAAATGGATAAAATATGTATTGGTAATAGTGGATGCAAATTTCTTCCTACTTGTTCTTGGACAAAATTGCACCTACAAAACAAATAACACCTTAGGTCAAGGCCAAGAGCCTCACCCACCCACGATGAATTGGATGTGGGGGGAGGAGGGGGGAGGGGGCTTTGGTCGAAGAACCTCCGATGCCAAAGTTAGAATTTTGAGAGAAAAGTGTTTGGAGAATTTAGAGAAGTTAGCAATAGAATTAGAATTGAGTTTTGGAGAGAATGTGGAGGATTATATAGGGGTGTGGCCGGCCCTCTTGGGAGAGGAGGAACCAGCCACATGGATGAATTTGTGGGTTAGGTTCATGATTTATGTTTAATTAGCTAATTAATCAATTAATTGGCTAATTAATATAATAAAAAAGGAATGATATAGCAGTTACCTTGTGGAGAAGATATGATGAGGGATGGATGAAATAGGTTATATAAATACCTATTTGGGCACTTTTGACTTGATTGAGAGATGATTGTCCACTGCTTGCGCGTAGGAACGCCGGTGTGCCTCGAGGGTAATTTTGTCATTTCCACCCAAAAATCCACGTGTCGCCTCTTGATTTTTTTTTGGCACCACAAATGCCCCCACATTTATTGGGTTGCTTGTAGAAAAAAAGACAATAGGTGTAGAGATTTTCTTACTTTGGGAAATACATAGGATTGTTTCCTATTTTGATGTAGATTCCCTCTTTAATAGAAAATTAGATCCTTCTAGGAACGGGAAATAAATTTCTCTCAAAGCCTATTGAAGTCCACCTTAAGTGGGTTAATAAATCAACTTTGGAGAGCGATTTATTCTACCCTACAAGAGAGAGAAAGCTTAGAGGATATTTGTTCCCCCTCCTCTAGCAATCTTTTACATCTTGCCCGTGCAAAGGATCGTTTTTCGTTGCTTGCTTTGTCTTCTCATTGCTTCTAGGTAAGAAAAAATTAATTTTCTTGTACTTCATCTAAATTTCTTGGGAGCCTTGGGGCTTGAAATTTGGCTCAACGGGGGGTCGAGGATGCGAAAAAATAGGTGGGAGGAAGCCACGGCACTGTAGCCATGGTTGGTGAGTCATGGCGACGGCTCGGCTCAACTTGGGCCGACGGTTGGTGTGGTTGGCGCAGGCCAGGTTAGGCCATGAGGCCTGCGGATGAGAAAGGGCAGGAGAAGTGGGGCTCTTGGGCTAAGAGGAAGAAAATGATAGAGGGAGCATGCGGGCCGAAAGGCCTGATTTGCCCTTTTATTTTTTTATTTTTTTATTTTTGGCGTTGCTATCTAACGAATACCTCTTGTATATTTGTAGAATTTTTTTTCAAGCATGTCTTCCTTGAGCCATAAGAATGATGATGGTGTGCCGTCATTGTATCGTCATGGCGGGTCTTTAAGCAAGGGTGGTTACTTCAAGGTTGCTCACTTCAAGATTAGCTCCAATGACTTGTTTAGAGACTTCCTCGAGGCATATTGGCACACCATTCCATCGGGAGTGTGTATGAAGCGTGTTAAGGATAGTAGTAGCCGTAAGCCATGTGATGGGGCTCAGAAAGCCATCAAGTTCCACCACTACTATTTTGTGTTGGGGTTTACTTTTCCTATGTCGCATTTCTTCCAAGAAGTGCTCTGCTCCATGAGTCTAGTGCATTTTCAAGGAGCACTTGGTTCAATTAGGGAGGATCTTTAGTTGGTTATAGAGGCAAAGTTTTGGAAGGCTTTGGAACATGGAAGAACTTCTCTATTTGTTTGCTTTCGGAATGGATACGATTATCATTTTTTTTTTGCAATTGAGGTTGTTGATAGAATAGGATTGGTTTATATGATCTTGTGTATTTACAACTACGTTCCCACTTTCTCCATTTTCTTATTATTAGTCTACCAATGCAAGCCTCTTTTCTAAATTGCATATTAAAAAAATAAAAATAAAAAGATCAAGTCTTATATAAAATAAAATAAAACTGAAGCCAAACCAAACAAAACCAAACCGAAAAAAACTGGAACCCAAAAAACTGAAAGAAAATCAAACCAAGTCGAATGAAACCAAACCCCTGAGGTTAGCCAGATTGTCCTGGGAACAAATTTGTTTGATTTCCATCTTCTACTACTCTTGCTACTGATTTGAGAAGAAGAATTTCAGCACATTATATTTAATGTTGTCTTGTTTGATGTATCATTTCTTAATCTGGTCGATACAAGCTACATTATCTTCATATATTGTTATAAGGGTGTCAATGATGGAGGCAAGTCCACACTTTCTTTGAAAATGCTCAACAACAGCTCACATCCATAAGAATTCACTCGCAGCTTTGGTGGGGCAAGAATTTTATCATGGTTTGAAGAAATCCCAACTAAGGTCTACTTGGTTAACCTTCAAGATATTGCAGTGCCTCCAACAGTAAGGACATAACCTATTTGAGAATGTACCTTGTGCGGGTCAGATAAATAACCTGCATCAGCATAACCAACATGGCAAAATCAACTCGATGACAAAGGTGCAACATCTCCACTCCAGGATGCGTAGGGATAGACAAAACCCAAATCTTGTAGTACCCTTAAGGTAATTAAGAATGTCTTTAACACCAGTCTAGTATATGCGCGTAGGCACGTTGTTATATCTTGCCAAAAGATTAATAACGAATGACTTGTTCAGTCTAGTGCACTGAGCTAAATACAATAAATTGTCAATTGCACTCAGGTATGGAACTTCAGACTCCAAAACCTCTTCCTTGTTGTCTTTATGATGTCTTTATGGCAGAAAGGATCTCATTTTGCATCTAGCATACGAATGACCATAAGAGTACTTGAAGGTTTCATGTTATCCTCACTGGACCGTCTCAACACCTTCTAGGTGCAGTTCGATTGATGAACCAGAATCTTATCCAACAATGCTCAAGCTCTAGGTTGAGACCATATCGAGTTTCCTAAGACCTTACATCTCAAATTCTAACTTTAGGTGCACAACAGTTTTCTCAAGCTCTTTGAGAGTCCTAATGAGATTCATGATATTGACATCAACTACAACTATCACAAATCTAGTATGCGACTTTCTATTTGCTGACTAATCAAATAATCACTTACATGGGCATAATTCATTATTCACATATCCTTGACTAATCAAATACTCACTTCAATTGCCTTAATCTAATGGAGAGTGTGATCCGTGGTCTAGAACTACTTGATTCACTCAATATAAGTTCTTCAGGAACTTTCATATAGATTTTCATATCGAGATGTATATAGAGATACGCGATTATCACATCCATAAGATGCATATTCAGTTTTTTG